ACCAAACTTCTGTCTTTATTACACTCCATGGCGTTTCTTACTGACTTACATTTTGAAGACTCTTCACTAATTTACATCTCTTCAAAGTAGAATTGCATTGCAATTTGCAAGAAACATTGCACCGTGTAACATAGGCTTTAGTTATCTTACATCATTCTACGAATTTGTTGAAAATAAATGCACGACTGCCTTTCTTATGCTTTCATGAGACCATATATTTTGGAAACTAAAAAGCAAAAATGAAAGTGGTTTTAATGTCGTAATAACTATTGTTAGCTTCAAATTTTATTCCAGGAAATTATAGAGACAAATTTTGTTTGCTATTATTAGCATAATAAAGTATACTTCTGTCGATCTTTATGATGTCGTACAATTCACAGCTCATTATTTTGAACGCACGAAACTTGAATTGAGTGGTGAAACTTATCAATCGCTATAGGTAAGTGCATACATCTTTACAAACCTCAGTTATTCAGTTTAAACAGCAACAAGTACAGTCAACAGGAAGATCAATAACCACGGTACAATTAATTTCAATAAACTTGGCGGAGAACTGAGTTGGTCTCACTGTCTGGTATGTTAACTAAGGTCAACTATGATGTAAGTTACAGTCAGGTACTATAGTCCAGCCGTCTGGCAACCTCGAAATTTTCCGGCCTTCATGCACCTACGCAATAATTATTATGATATGACGCACGTACAGTGCATTGTACAGTATGTAAAATTCATGTTTACATCAGTATATTGTTCACCGTAAGTATTGCTAGTGAAACAGCAATTTGTTTAGTTCAGGCGTACAATATAGTTGGGTATTCTCTCGGTACATTCTCTGCATACGTATTATTACGGACGTTTATCGGCTTAATAATTTCGTTTCTTCCAGTAAATTCAATATCGAAACCGAAACGGATTTTGACAACATTGAAATGTTTATTGAATTTCATGATGAACACCCTCAATAAATTCTGCGAATGAAATAAAAATCTGTAGGTGTCGAGCGGAGGGGAATTTCCCAATAGGTGAACAGGAAACTATAACGAATAACTCTAGATGCACTGCTCTTTATAATTACTGGATTGTAATGGTTCATCTACGAACCTATGAGACCGTATCATACTAACGTATACTCGTTATATTTTTGGTTTAAATAGTGTGCTCTCTATAATTTTTATATGGAGTGCCGTTATATTTTTGGTTTAAATTTTGAGCTCTGTATTAGGCTGCGTATGACACTAAGGACGCCGTTACACAAGATAGCAATATGTGTGCATGGTAAGAGTAGCTATTTGAGTATTTATAAAGTAGAAAAATAGACTATCGCGTAATCATTTTAACTAACATGATTGCATACAACATTTATAGTTATCTTACATCTTGATACGAATCTGTCGGGATAAATATAGGACGGCTTTTCTTATGCTTTCGTGCTGGAACTGATATAGCAAGCGAAAATGAAAGTGATTTTAATAATAATTATTGTTTAAATGTTATTACGGTAAATTATAGAGACTGTATTGTTTGGTTGATCATGCAAATTTTGTTTGCCATTAAAATTCCTTTGGTATAATATATAGCCACGTTTACACTACAGTCAATTTATTGGCACAGCACGGCTTTAAAATATATATATGGGTACGCGCGCATACCTAATTTTCTTGGTGTTCAGGCAAATGATACAAAGGCCGGGCAGAGATGATATGGCACGGGTACCTAATAGGTACCCGTGACTACCTAAGTGTAAACGGTGCTTATATTTCTTTATGATGTCGTATATAATTCACAGCACACGTGTTCCTATTCTGACATTATATGACTTTATATAGGTAAGGCATGCACTGCACTTTAATTACTAGACACTAATGGTTCAGCTACTAGCCTACGAGACCGTATCATACTAACGTATTATTTAAATAGTGAGCTTTCTCTGTATGGAGTGTCGTTATATTTTTGGTTTCAGTATTGAGCTCTACATTGTATAAAATATATCAAGTGGAAACTTAAGGAATTTGACTACCAATGTAAAAGTGAAGCGAAATGTTGCGGAAGTTGAAAGAGCTATAAGAGGAATAGAGGTCTTCAAAGAGGGTTTAATCCAAAAACTTTTTAAATATTCGCCATCTTTGGATTAACTTTTAGCAACGGCGTTCCTATCCTATAATAAATATCATATTAACCCCTCACTGGGTTTGATAGTTATCCACCATGCAAACCAGAAATCTGAATGTTGCCGATCAAGTCTAATACCCAAATTTCAGATATTGCAGAGGATAGCTCAGCTGAGTCTTCCTCTCACATTCATATCTGGAGGACCCCTAGCCTAATTTCCGTGAAGAGAAGTTTAAAATTTTAAACATGACATAAAATACATTCCGTTTTATTAAACTTCAATGAATCCGCACGAAAGAAAATAGTTTTTTTGTTACTTCAACAGATCAAAAGTTTCGTAAAAAATATTTATTAAAGAAATAAGTAATTTATAGAGACTATACAGATTTTTAAGAAAATCTCTTTTTCGTTTTTAGATTAATCCGCAACCCAAATGTCAAAAAGTATTCGTCAATTTTTTTAAAGAAAATATTTGAAAATATTTGTGACCGTTACCAGTGAGACCAGTTTTAATCGTAACTTCAAATGGCCAATTTGGTTAAAACAGCTTGCATGCATATGATGGATCATATCAGAAACGTTTTCAAATCGTTGCTCCTGTTACATTGCATTCTGCGCCTGTCTGTTTGTGTCGCAGGTGAGTACTTTTCAATAGTTGCCGATGCATATGATCTTCATAAGACAAGCTGATTGATCTAAATCAATGCTGTTAAGTATGGGTCATAGACTCATAGTCTATATCGTCTTATAGATTTGCATTAATCTTAATTCGCGAGACGTCATAAAATTAATGTTTTAATGTAATGGGTAGTTTGAATTTTATAAAGGGAAACATAAATAATCAGAAACCCCTTATAAATAATTAAGCAATTTTCTCAGCTCGCCAGACCCAGTCTTGTATTTAATATGATACGACTCGAATGATTTATTTAAGAGTTAGAGACTGTTGTGAGTGTTTTGTTCACAAATAAACGCACGCGCTGACCACACAATGAACGAGAAATTTCATGATTCCCATGATCACGTGATTGATTTTGACCAATCACGTGAGTAGATTAAGGCCACAGCACGAACATTGTATATTAAATATACCGGGCCGCGGAACCAGTGGGCTAGGGGGGGGGGGGGGATAGCGCAAGGCAACGTGCAAACATGATTTTTTGTCTCAAATGTGTTAATTAGCTTATTTTTGAGGTTTAATTATTTCTTAAAATTCGATGCCCAAATTGCGCACAATTTATAGCTATCAAAGTGAAATAAATAGCACCCTCTTTTTCGCTGAATTTAGCAGACTGTTCAGTTATGCAAGGACTAAGGCAGCTTAAATAACGGTTATAAAATTCAATCATCAAAACAAAAAAAACATCATCAAGCTATGCCTAAAAGTGAAAATAATTTTTTTTCGAATAATTATGCAGTGACTACAGACGACACTAAATGACTCTGAGCGTCATTTGTCGAAATTGAACTAGAAAACTCGGATTGGTCAAATGCACATAGACTGTCCAGAAAATCCGCAAAAGTGCTCAAGTAGTTTGAACTATTAGCATCCAATTTATAGTGGAATATAATTTTCATAGCTCAAGTTAATTTTATCCGACCAAGTATTTTACTTATATGCCCAGGAAGTCATGCAGTCATCTTCAAAAAAAAGAGAGGAATCTGCATGCGTGTACTTCTCGTTTATTCGGTTGTACACACATTTCATAATGTGGACGCGTACGTAAAAGGACAACGATAAAAATGCCTTACATGTATTTAAAATACAATCTTCGTGCATTGGCCTAAATGTACTCACGCGATATGACGAAATCAATCACATGGTTTCTTGTTGCCTAGCGACAGATCATGGGAATCATAATTTATTATTCACAATACGCATGAAAATCATGGTTTATTCAAAAATGACAGCTTGCAGGAAGTTTGGATCTCCAATGCAGCAGTCAATAAACTCAGACTTTATGTTCAAGTTTTATTTACAAATAACCGCACACTATTATTATAAATTCTGCTAATTCTGCTGATTGCCACACCATTAGTAGTATCTTACTTGCGGATTTGAGTGATCATATTCGAAATTTCTTGATAATAAATAAGTATAAATCAAACAATAAAACTGTTGTTTACAAAAAAGATTATGCAAATTGCGATATGCCTGCTCTTGCCAATGAAACGAAAATGATTGACGGGATCGAATACTATTTTGCCCCAAAATAATGATGTTAATTCAATTTTTGATACTTTTTATATGAATATTTCTCAAGTAATTGATAAATATGCCCGACTAAAAAAATTGACAAATAATATATCGATAGGATGTTCACAAAGTATTGCGAAAATAACAATCTTTATTTTGCATTAAATATAAAAAATTGCGAAACGAATTAAATGAGCTTTTTGTATTGAGTAAGAAGAGTTATTATCAAAATTATTTTAAAACTAATGTATCAAATCTTAAAAATCTTGAATAAAAGAATTAGTCAAGTTAAATTGCAAATTAAAGTATATGCAAACTGTTACTTATAAACTAGTTCTGGGTAACAGAGAAATAAAGGATTTTTTTAAACCATACGATATTTGATATATTTATGAAATTATTTCCGATAACCTGTACCATTAACTAGGTTTATCTATATTGTTTAAACTTATTGTATTGTATTTCTGGTATTAATAAATGTACTGTATTGCCGACCAAACAATATTAACTCGAAATTTTAGTATCGAAAATTTCAATAATGAAATTTCTTGTTCATTGTATGGTCAGCACGTGCGTTTATTTGTGAACAAAACACTCAAAACAGTTTCTAAACCTTAATGAATATACATAGGTTAATAAGATTTAAATATGCGAAAAGGATTTAATATGACTGACTTGCGTTGAATTAGGAAATTGTGATGGGACAGTAGAAAGTGAAAAGATCACAAGGACACAATCTAAGTACATTGATGTCATGCCTGGTGATCAGGCTGTTATGAACTGGACATGGTGCATCGCAGTGAACAGCTCAATAACGGGCATCATTGTGTACAGAGTGACTCGTGAAAACTCACAAATAACGAATCGTGTGGTATTGTCAATGGATGGGTCAAAGAAAGTACATTATCGCCAAGACAATTCAAGGCATGAACTTTACACTGTAGAAATTGAGCCAAGTCTACAAGAAAAGGCAGTTTTTACTATCAATAACGTAAGCAAATTGGATGATGGGGAATACAGCCTGCATGTTCGAAGAGTGGGATATCGTGATCTTCATAATGAAATCAACGTAATTGTTATTACTGACGGTAGGTAAACGATTTTCCTGTGAAAAGCTATAATTATAAAAAACACACTTCCATGCAAGGAGGTTGAAGGTGGCCTTTATCTCATGCTTTTTCGCAAAACGTTTTGAGAAATTTTTGTATAATGGTTTGATAGGTGGGTTCCAATTTGAACACCCCTGCTCTTAGCCAATAGAAACACACCTTTTACAATAGGTATGAGATAATAGATTGGACATTCTTACTGATTTCAAGAGCTTAACGAATGTGATAGAGTTATACTTCTGTATGCACTGATTAACAAGGAACGAAAAACTAGTTTTTAACGAATTCAATAGATTTCAGTGTCGTCTACTACACGTTTACGTGTTATAAAAGGTACACATCATTTAACAAAGAATATATTTCGTTCGAAATATAGAACCAACAGTCGCACTCCGTCGTTTGCGAGCAACATCAAGAACACAAGGAAAAAAGTTGGTATTAACCAGAAATATAACAAATTTTCAGACCAGCCGTGTACCGATTACTCAGAGCCGTGTATCAACGAAAAAAATCCTCATTGTTACAGTAGCTTTCCTTGCCATTTTTTTCATATTAGTTTTGTGCATATTTTGCTGGATGAAATGCAGGAAGCGTGGAAACAAAGCTGGAAGCTCCGATCAGGATTTCCTGGTGCATGAAAAAACAGAACATGTCTGAAGCTATAGATTCTTGAGCATGCGTATACAGGCATTGAGCCGGCAAAATATTCAATAACATTCCATGCTTTTTCATATTTGAAAAAGCTAGGTGCATGAATAAATCGAATAAAGTTAGTTTTCCGCATGATTTATATTTAGTATGCATTTGTTGTCACATACGGTAAATAATATCATGGCTGCCTCGAAATCCTTTGTTTTACTAGTACCGATTAACAACTAAATAACCCGATGCATATACATTAGGGACGATTACTAACTAATCGTCCTTAATGCATATACATTAGGGACGATTACTAACTAATCGTACCTAATGTTTATGCCAAATACCCGCCTTTGTTATTTATTTATCTCCAAGCACATCGAATAACTATAAAAGTATTCCTATTGTCTCGGTAGCCATAATATTACAAACTAATAGCATGGCGTTTCGGTCGATTAGCAATTAAATGTCCCTCAAGCCTCGGCAGGTTTAGTAAAAGGGCTTCGCCCTCGGGACTTTTACTAAATCTGCATCGGCTTTCGGGGACATTTAATCGCTAATCGACCTGAAAGCCATGCTATTACTTATAATAATAAAAACTGAGAATTATCGAATTTCCTCTCGTAAAAATGAAGTCATAATGATAGAAGGAGGGTGAAAGGGGGGGGGAGATACAGTGTAGCAGATTGTTGGCAAGTGTGCGAGGAGAAAATTATAAAATCTTACCTCACTAACAGCTTCGTCATAAATGAAGATCTAAACAAAATTTTGCTATGATAGCTATTACTGCAATGGACTTGGCACTATTGCTACCATCCACATTAGCAGCTCTTTTCTGAAACTATAAAAGGGAAAAATCATATCCAGATATGGAAATTGGGTGGTTGTTAAGTTATACAGCTAGTGTATGCGTATGGGCGTAGCACGGATTATCGAAGTTCTTTTAACAATACGTACGATCTTTAACCTTGGAAATATCATGTTGGTAGTTTCAAATGACCAGACGAAACTCCATGCATGCATGAATTTACTTTATAAACAGTTTTGTTTTATCATAACTCATACATAAATTGTATATGGTATTGTTTTTATAGTGCTAACTCTGTAAATGATATGTAAATAATGCATGATATGTAAATAAAATTATTTCTATAATTTCAATAATCGATGATTGCACACCAGGGACGTGCCAAGCACAGGGCGGGGGGTGGGGGGGGGAGTAAATGTAACATATTCAACTCTTTTAAACATGCTCGGCTAATCTTTTAAAAGATTAATAGTGGTCAGTATTTAACTTTTAAATTGCATATGAAATCGGGTCTGCAATCGCATCTGCTGTGCTCTAAATTTCAAACGTTTTTTCAGGAAATTTGCAAGAATATTTTATCCCCACTAAATATGGCCGACGCCACCTAAGCTTGTAAGGACCTTCTATTGATTAATCACAATGCATTATGAAGTAGCCTTAAAACGGCTATCTCAGAAACGTTATATAGTTTAGATCTGGTTCCACGATGGGTATACGAGATGATGGCGACGAAAGCGCTCTTTTGATAGTGTAAACCCAGAACTGGAAAAACCGACAATTGTTGAAAAAACCCCGCCAGCGCGGCATCGGTACGTACGGAAGTCATGAAGTTATCATGTTACGATATCCCTATTTCGTCCCTTGAATATTGAAACGCTAGACATACAGTTTTTCCGACTGAAGAGTGAAGCAATTCAGATTAATGAGCCAAACGGATACTCTGCGTACTGTAAATACTGTATACATATTCAGCAAAATAGCTTTATTGTAAAAATACAATGCTCTCAAAGTTATAAAACTTTTCAAAATATAAACGAAATTACTTCAGTTTTCCTATATAAATGCTTAAAGTATGTCGGGATAAAGTAATCATTAACACTTATTCACTGCGAATGAAGGAAACATTATATTTTGTGGACCCGAGACCTGTCGAGGGTCCACAAAAATAATGTTTTCTGAGTTTTCGGTAAATAGGTTCAAAATATACCACTTGTCAAAGAAAAACCAAACTACAAGGTATATAATAATGCGAATTCATTACTATTGAATTATCTTTGAAAAATTTAATTATAGCTTTTTCACTATCTCCTGAGAAGTAAACATTTTTAGATAAGGGCAAGGAAAACGTTATTTTACTTGTTTTACTTTTCCTGTTATTGTCATACTAACATAAGATGATATCCCAACATAAGCTAAAAATAATATTTTAATCGTATATATTCTATTAAATTCCCCAAGCAATATGGAGAGACAGCATCAGTTTTTTTAAATGAGGAAAATGGTATTTAACATCTTGATATTATGAAATGATACCCCAACATATGATGCCACAATGCAAGGGCTGAGAAGTTAATAATCTGCTTTTGCTATTGTCTCTAATTAAAATGGCAGGACACAAGGCAAACTTGACAAAAATATATTAAATTATACAGTGTCAATCTAGCAAAGTTAGCACTACCAACATTCGATAGCAACCTGTTATCTTGCCAGTCGTTCTGGAATTATTTCTGCACGGAAGTACATGATAATCCCCATTTAGGCAACATTCAGAAACTGAACTACTTGAGAGCTCCATTAAACTGGGGAAGCATTAAGAGCAATCGGTGGGTTTCCCTTAACTGATAATAACTATCTAGAGAGTATTAAACTGTTACAAAAGAGATTTGGTGAACAACACCGAGCTGTGAGTGCACGCATGCACTATTAAACATACAATGCCCGACAAGTACACTGCAAAAGTTTAAAGGATTTCTATGACACACTGGAAACACACATCCGTGCACTTTAAGCATTAGGGGAATGGCATTAAGCATAATTATGGGGACATCATCGTCCCTATAATCCGCAATGCAAGAAGTTATCGTCAGATTTGATTATAATACCTAATCAAGAATAGCAATGAGTGAAAACATGATGAGCTCAGGAAAGCATTACGCAGAAAAATCAACACATTAGAAGCAGGAGAGAACTCCAATCCCCCACAGTAACTTCACAATTTGACACAGAACCCATCACTTAACCCATCATACAAGCCCCACTACGGACCAGTGACCATCAACCCCAATGAAACGAGCATGTGTTTATTGCAAGGGTTCACAAAACCCAATTAATTGCACCATTGTAACTGATAAGAACACCGACTCAGCACCGACTCAGCATAGTATGAGATTCTAAAATGTTTCAACTGCGTTAATAATAATCATGTAGTGTCCCAATGTAAGAGAAAGCGTCGATGCAAAACCTGTCATCGCAAACACCATACCAGCTTAGGGACCAGTCATTATTAATGCTGGGTAGGGGGCCGGAGGAAATTTGGAGGGGCCACCAAAAATTTTTGACCAGTGAAGGGGGGGCTAGCAAAAATTTTGAACACGAAGGGGGGGGGGCAACAAAAAGTAAATTCTATGGAATAGTTTGTAACATGTAATATCAAAAAAGTAATAATTGATATATACAGTGTACAGTGTACGTATATAGTTGTGTTCTAGAGGATATGGAAGTAAACAAGGATATGCAAGTAAACAAGTATGAGGGCAAGAAAAAAAGTGACGAAACTGTGAGCCATTTAATTCAAAATTGGAGGGGAAGGGTGGGGTATGAAATACATTGACTCAATAACGGGGGGGCCTAAAACAATTTTGTTATAAAAATAAGGGGTCATGAAAAGATTTTGCTGTTTTCATAAATTTCCTCCAGCCCCCTACCCAGCATTAATAATGACTGGTCCCTTATGTTCAACTGAAACCCTACCAGCACCTTCAGCTTCACCCCTTAACCAAGAAAAACAACACCCCAAATTAAATGTCCCCAGCCAGTCAGTGCATACAATCAACATTGGTGATAATTAGAACGACTTAAAAATTTGACGAGAAAAAAATTGACGTATGGTTCGACTGAGCAATAGCAGGGAGTATTTCAGGATGCTGGTACCACGTTTTCATGTTCGTCATGTCAAAGTTGGGTGATATTTGACACCAACAATGATGCAGGTAAATTCATGTGGTAGTCGATACGGCAAAAGTTTTAGCCAAATGAGACCACCTTCGAAGTCAATGTCTTGATCGGAGTAGATCACTATTAAAATATCGTGTTTACAAATCGCATAATTGGTAGCCAATTAGAGTAGACAAGAAACAACTTACTATAAGATCGTATAATTATTATCTTTGAATATACGTACATCTGCACACAGCAGAGACTCGGCTGCTAACCTCATTGTGTAACAGACTTCATAGCATAGAAATGACCTTACTGAATTTTGAAATTAACATTTTGTCGCCAAAACCTAATCAGGAACAATGCATTGGGTACTTTCTCCGAGCAATGCAATAAGTACAAACACCACGGTTTGCTTTTCACGGTTTGATATTTTAGGTAAGGATCAGTAAGGTTTAGGTTATTATTATCATTAAAGTTGTCCATGTAAATATACAAATACTGTATATAAATATCAATCACCGTTCCTTTTTCTTATCATGGTTAATGACCTAGCAATTGTTCATAAAAACCGATGGAAATATGTCGGCGATTACAGCCTTTTGGAAACAATTAAGAAAGGTAAAGAAAGTCATCTACAAATATGTATTTTATCGTAACAATTCTACTTTAATCTTAAAAACGTCATTTCAGCACTTTGAATTTTTTTTAACAGATTACAGTGGCGGATCTGGGGGTGATCAGAATAAATGTTTAGAGCTTATAAAATCGCAATCGGATTAGTAATTTTATTCAAAAATATTCTTTTCAAATACTTAACAAAAAGTGTTGCTATTACAGTGTTTGAATTTAAAATTTAGCTGTGTAACTTATTCTGATTTCCCCTAGATCCGCCAGTGGCATATTATCAGTCAGATGCTCCTCATCGCCTTCACTTTATTTCTCGATCATCATCACTAAATTCTTCCTCCCGTGGGACCTCCTGGTAACTATCAACATCTTTAGCACAGAAGATATAAATAGTAAACACCGCCATCCAAGCCACAGTGACAACAGAGAAACCACAGAAAGTTATTCTTGTACCAAATTCATCAAAGCAGAATCCAATAACCGCGGAGCCAAGTTCTTTCCCGATTCCATAAAAAGTTAGGTTCACCACACCTGAGACGAAATGTAATTTTTTATGTGTAACCCTCTTCCCCATCGAAAATTAAATAAATATACCTTTCTCTAAATTAAAAAAATGTGTCTCTCAGAGTGCAGCTTCGTTCCAGGATGAGGAAGAAAAAAGGCAATTTACAGCAGTGATATGTGACTTTACACCGGCGATACTACTGGATTTCACGTGCATTAGAAGGAAATAGAAAAGTATAGATAAATGAGGAAACGATAAGGGTAATGCCTAAAGCTGGTTAGTTTCTATACTAGCGATATTTTCTGCGCTAATCAACATTTTACCTTTGTTTCAGAGCTCTCAACTGCAACAAACGGGAACAAATTGCTCAAATACAAAAAATAAAGTCACTTCGGGGGAAAAATATCGTTCTTGGCAAACCGGGATAATGGAGAGGGTGCATGTATATTCCTGTCACCTAAATTATCGAGCTGTCGACTTTGAAATTAAAGTCCTGTAGACACAAGTGAAGCTTAAATCAACGCTTGTTCTTGTTTTGTATCCGCATTGCGGAGGCACATAATCTACTATAGTGACGTAAGTCGCCAGCGTATAGTGTTCTCGGAGGGACATAATTCCCTAGGGGATAGTGTCCAAGGAGACACTTTCTACGGGGGACAATATCCACTAAGACACCGGTGTTCCTACTAGACTACCAGCGTATATAGTTATCTGGCGTTTTCAAAATCGTTTTTGTCTATTTTATTGTTTTCACGCCCTGTCCACAACGCCTACAAAAAATATTTTTTATATTTTAAACTAGCTACCACTTGTATTTTAAATTTATGGTGTTTGACACCGTTTTGTCATGAAAACGAATGTGAAAACGCTCGAAGACGCTACCGTGTGCACATAGCCTATAAGTGCAAAACAGGCTTTTCGTTCGGTAAGCTGTAAACAGCAAAATTCGACAAAGCATTAATATACATATATATGAAGCTTCAAACTCATTAAAATAGTAGCATTAATTTTGAACATCAATTTTTTTTAATACAAAATCGACGCTAATACAATTCTGCTCATCATGAAAAATGCAGGCGATGCCTTTCATCGTGCTTCTGAAAAGTGAATCCTAGGCATGCTTCATATATCGCCGGACATTATCCGCTAGCCGTTAGGACACTATATTCGGGTGACAATACTGACTGCGAGGCATCCGTTGAATTTTGCCCCAAAATAATACCATGACGTATAAAAATCACTGATAGAATTTAGCTCACCTTGAAAAAAAGCAGATGATGCCTTTGATCCTGCTTTGGAGAAGTGAATCACCAAAGACGCATGCGTCAGGACAAACGAAAGAGACTGAAAATTATCGAGGAGTATTACCAGCCAGGCATTTTCAGTAAACGCTAGACCAGCAAACGAGGCGGCAAATAGAAACAGTGAAATTGCTGTAACATACAATTCGCCAAGTTTTCCAATGATAACACGGGATATGATGTACCAAACACCGACTAGAACCCGTCTGAGTAAACCACCAACGACCATTACAACCGGCGTGCCGCCCAAGTGTCGCATGTACCAAAATTCCCAATGCAATTGAAACGCAGTACAGATACCTGCATGCGCGCAAATGAACAGGACAAGAATATAATGAGGATTCAACAAGACTGACTTGATTTCATCATAATCGACCACCCGTTTCTTGAGATACTCGTATTCCAACCAAGGCAAAGAAATTAAAGTCATACACTGTGCCGCAGCCGCGTAGAAAAAGGCAACGTAATAACCTGGGACTTCTTGGCCGCAAACCAAATGGGTTATGTGGTCTGCCAACGCCCCAACGATGAAGAGCGAAATTCCAGCGCCGAATTCACCCCAAAATGCATATAATCCAAATTTTGATTTATCGTGTTTAATATGTGTCACAGCGGATACAGTAATTAATGTTATAGAAAGTCGTTTAACCAGTTCGAAAAAACCCCGCAAGAAAAGTATAATCAAAAAGAATTTTACCATATCGCCGTCGTTTTTCGTCTCGCTATTCCCCAAAGGATTTTCGAAATTTTTTTCAGCAGATGATGCGTTCATTATAGAACTATGAACAATACTGGAGTTTCCGAATGACTCTGTGATTTCTCTTGATGATGATTTTTCGCAGGTTAAATCAGGCGCTTTCGGTGCCAGAAAAGCAAAGTGGTAGGGATGGACAAAAGGACACCCAGAAGCAACATCTGCTTCCTTATGCGAAATTTGTCAGACAAATATCCTGCGATCGGTATTCCTATCACTTGAGTGACGAATCCAAGCAAAGGGACCATACCGACATATGTTGAGCTGTATCCTAATTGTGCCATGAATAAAGGCATGTATTCACCGATCGTTGCTACACATGAACGATACATAAAAAAAGCAAAACTAACAGCAACACCGCCGGTAGTGAGTGAAAACATTTTCTACTGCCAATTCTTGCAATTGGGTGAACCACTTTCAAGCTAAAAATATATAAAACATAATGAGTGCATAGGTCAATATGACGATTGGAAGGTGCAAGTGTCATGAGGGTAGCGGAATTTGGGGTGCCTTATTGAATATGGGCCAAGAAATAATAGGATTAAAAGATGGATTTGAAACTTGTGGTTTTACCAATTTACCTAGCCTACAATTCTGTGAGCGAGTTTGAATGACAAGTATTTTTCAAACTCAATATTATCGAAAAAACGGAAACTTTAAAACAAAGAACGTTCGGTTTGGATCAGGTCATGCAAGCACGGATAATGAATTCTCTTGTATAGTTGAATTCAATAGACCTATACGATAGACAATGATGGTGAATATTTCTACATTTCTTCAACAAATTTCCTTGTTAGGAGAACTTATTGGGTTGTACGTTTATAATAGCCTGTGCGAATGTGTACGCAATTGGAAAATTTTATCGACCATCAAGTTTTGTCAATATAAAAATAAGCTCAAAAACATCCGTAATCAGTTCTTGAAGTTTAACTTAATCTCATGTGTCCATGGGCGCACCAGCTGCCAAAATTATAGGGTTACTATGGTATACATGTGCATGCATGATAAATAGAAATTCAAACAAATTACATTATCCATGGTACGTAATGGTAAAAATCGCTTTGTTTTTTAACATTGTCATGCCACATTCTTAATTGTTATTATCATTCACTTTATAGTATTCTCAATTTTGATTGGTTAATTTATATTTCCTGCAGTTAACTGCTTGCAAATAATACTCTGAGCATGCGCTTTTGTTAAAAACGTTGCTCAGCTGCAAATAATACTGTGAGCATGCGCATTAAAGTCAATTTTATAAACAATGGCGACTCGCTTTGCCGAACTGTCCGAAGCTGAATTAATTGGCTTCATTATTTGAAAATAAGAATGCAGAAAACACCAAAAAAGCGACTAAATCTGCCAGATTTAGATCCTAGATTTTATGCTGAGGCGAGAAAACGCGATGGCGAACTTTACAGTAAATCATCATTACTCGCAATTCGCTTTGGCTTGCAACGCTTCTAAGGCTCTTTGATGGACATTGAGGGGTGAATGATAAAACAATTATTGAACTCGTTTTTTGTCGGTGGCTCGCAGATCAATATTGCTCGCCACCGTCACGATCTTTTGACCTCTCTAATTGATAAATATTTGAAATACGACTGATCTGTCTGAATGCATATCTAGATCTCGCAAGAGGAAGTCGTCCTCAATAGATACATGTTTTTTTAGTTCTATACCTTAAAATGCATGCGATTTAGTTGTTATTGCTCCGGCGTGAGTGCATGGGAAAGTTGGGCAAGTTGGAAAACTGGCCTTCGTTTTGTTTTGTTTTTGTTTAATTTTTTTATTGTTTTTCATAGTCGCTAGGTTTAGCGCGAAACATATAATGAGTGTTTTAAAACTGAAATGCTTATTGGTACCCAGGACTTGACAGGATGTGACGCTCGTTGAAGAACCCATGTAAGCGCATCTATACTCTACGTCAGAGAGTTGTGGTGCGCTACTCTAAATCTTTTAACAATTTCCCGATGCGCGATTTGATTTCGCTCGCATGATACGGCAATTCCTCCAAGAGGCACGAATAGGCCGTTCTTTTGACGCTGTTCGATTAAGTTACATTTGCAAACACATTACACATATTACACCCTAATAGCTCTAAGGTGATCATATGAGCGAATTCCAAAGTGTAACACAAAGTGAAAGTCATCTCCGTATTTAAACCTTATCATGCAGTTGAACTTAAAGTGCGATGTGCTTCTGAATATCGAACAACATTTATTATTATTATTATTCATTGATTATTATTATTATTAGGATCACAACGGTTCTATACTTTTCGTTTTTAAAGCACGGTTTGCTGTCCGAATATCGAATAACAATTAGGCTCGCAAGGCATCCAAATGAGTATGAACTGTTAATTTGGTGTTTATGTTCAGAAGCTTTATATTGAAAAGAATGCATGGCACGTGCACGGCACGCGTAGGCGGCTAATGTAATAATGTACTGTATAGTTGGAGATTTTTCAGAAAGTTACGTATTTATTCACAAAATCGCTCAAAATTGTAGCAACTAGGCCTTCGCTAAAATATGCTTCGCAGCAATTTTGAATTTACAAGTTTGGTAAAGTTTTCATGTCCAGTGACGGCAGTTTTACTAACTTTTGGAGAATTTCAAAACACGAAAAGCTCATTAAGACAAAGAAGAACACAGGTGAGTGTTCGTTCAATGGTATTTTGAATGATATAAATATAATTTTCAATGCGTACATTTTTATTAGTGCGAAGGAGTGACACAGAGTCACACACAGTGACATACTAATGTATAAACATAATAATTGAAATATACTGATTTTAGTGGTTTAGAACTCACTTTGTGATACAATAAAATTTTTTATTCTTTGTCTTCACCATTTCTTGGAAATATGAACAATAGTTTCAGATACCAGTAAACTCGCATTTGGATTGATAGTTGTATCATGTATAGTTGCCTTAAGATCAGTTTATCACACAACTAATAAAAAAGACCGTAAATTTCAAGAAACAACACAAAGAAAGAGAAAGTCAAACTATTTTGATTTATTTCAAAAACCACTGCCCTCTCTATTTTTTGAATTCCTTGTGTGGAGGGTACATAATATGGGACATGTTGGGCACTTGTTGGGACAGTCATGGAACAATCAGGACTGCCGGGTTGCATGTCAGCATAAAAGTCCCGACATCGATAAGCTAGTACTTATGAATATATATATATATATATATATATATATATATATATATATATATATATATATAAATATATATATATATATATATATATATATATATACATATATCGTTCAACTTATTGCGTATAATTACAGACTTTAATTACAATCATACTACACAACATATGCAATTATAATATAAGTATGAAAGCAACATCTTAAATAACATGTAAGGAGAATTTCATTATTGATCAAATAAATAAATTTTGTTGTTGCCCTATAATTTCTTCTTATATTATAAAAGATTTAAAAAAGCTCGTTGCGTGCCTTTATGGTGTAATAATGCACTCGAGGAAATGTTGGAAGAATACTCGAGAAGCTTGTAAAACACTCGGCTACGCCTCGTATTTTACAAGCTTCTCTCGTATTCTCCCAACATTCCCCCATCGTGCATTATTACACCATAAAGGCACGCGACTCGTTTTTTAATTCTTAATTCTAATTAGATTTCGGGTATCTATCTATATATCTATCTGCGGCCAACGTTTTTGCAAACGGGTATATATATATATATATATATACATATATCGTTCAACTTATTGCGTATAATTACAGACTTTAATTACAATCATACTACACAACATATGCAATTATAATATAAGTATGAAAGCAACATCTTAAATAACATGTAAGGAGAATTTCATTATTGATCAAATAAATAAATTTTGTTGTTGCCCTATAATTTCTTCTTATATTATAAAAGATTTAAAAAAGCTCGTTGCGTGCCTTTATGGTGTAATAATGCACTCGAGGAAATGTTGGAAGAATACTCGAGAAGCTTGTAAAACACTCGGCTACGCCTCGTATTTTACAAGCTTCTCTCGTATTCTCCCAACATTCCCCCATCGTGCATTATTACACCATAAAGGCACGCGACTCGTTTTTTAATTCTTAATTCTAATTAGATTTCGGGTATCTATCTATATATCTATCTGCGGCCAACGTTTTTGCAAACGGGTATATATATATATATATATATATATATATATATATATATATATTTATATATATAATATATATTTATATAATAATATATAAATATAATAATATATATATATATATAATATATATATTATATATATATATATTATATATATATATAATACACCTATTTGCAAAAACGTTGGCCGCAGATAGATAGATAGATAGATATAGATACTCGAAGTCTAATTAGAATTGCATATGTTGTGTAATATGATTGAAATCCCATGCAAATGTATTCATATGCAATTCTAATTAGACTTCGAGTATCTATCTATCTATCTATCTGCGGCCAACGTTTTTGCAAATGGGTGTATATAATATATATATATATATATATATATATATAATATATATATTATATATATTATATATAATATTATATATATATATATATATATATATAATCGATGTCGCGACTGTTATGCTGAGATGACAACATGCAACCCAACAGTCCTGATCATGCAGTCCACTTTCGAATGCATAAATTTCCTTTTAGTATAATGTGTATTGTTTAACTAATTACTAATACTTATACTAATTACTAATAGCTACAGCACTGCTTGATATCTGAAACCATTGGACCACAAAGAAAAAAAATTGTCTGTTGATGCATGTCCTGAAATATCAATTTACCGTGAAAAGCAAACCGTGCTGTTCAGTAAAAAGTAACCGATGCATTGCCCTGGACAAATATGTTAAGTTCGCAATGAATCACATAGTTCGTGACGAGACTTGGGTGAGTTACTATAAGAAATCCAAGGCGCAGTGAAGATTAGGTTACAACAACAAATAAATAATTAAATAAATGCATTGTAAAGCCACGTAGCTATAATCATATTTGAAATTCTTGCATGAGATTATGCGATCGGAGTTATCAATTATACAATATACGACAACCCTAAACGCATTGCAAGGAGAAAAAGTCAGAGCCTGAATAAAGCCTCAATCAGACACTTAATAATTAAAGCCGCGATTCTCATAATACAACTCCATATCGTGAATAGGTACTCTTGGGAAATTATACAGCAGTTCGTTCACACATGATTGACCGCTTGCATAATAGACCAACTTTTGATATCGATTTAGGCGAAATTCACGCCAGGAAAAATTGATGGGAAAAGGAGTGCACTATAGGTCCTCCGAAAGGAATCAAACCAACGCTTTGGCGATGCTGGTTCAATGCTCTTGCGACTGAGCTACAGGGGTAGCTGACAAGAGCAAGCGTGGTTTATG